GGGCGGGGGCGGCAGGGAGGGGCGGGGGCGGCAGGGAGGGGCGGGGGCGGCAGGGAGGGGCGGGCAGGATGAGGTGGCCGAGTGGTTAAGGCGATGGACTGCTAATCCATTGTGCTCTGCACGCGTGGGTTCGAATCCCACCCTCATCGTCGCTTTTGCCGGCGCGGCTGGGAAGGCCGCAGAGTGAAATCGCGTCACCGCAGCTCGGTGTCATCTGCGTCATGAGCCCAGCCTGACTCGGCTCCTGCAGGAGAGGCACGGGCTCGACGGAGGTTTAAGAAAGAGCAATCGGCAGCTCCCGGCACACAGCAGCGGCCTGGAGCCAGGCAGCACGGTGCCAGGCCCCGGGTGCCCGAGCAGCCCCGAGCCGAGCCCTCGGCACCAGAATTTACCTCTCACCTATGGCGAATCCCAGCCATCCGTGGGCCTGTGCTCCCAAGGAAGGTAACCGAGATTCTGCAGGGCCTTCCTGCTATTCTCACCACGCGGGCAGGTGTAGGAGGACAGCTTGGGGCGGTGCAGCCGTGCCAGGCACTGGGGCACGCCGACACCAGCAGCGTCAGCTTCAAGGCTCAGCCTTCTGCGTGGCAGCCAGCCTGGGATCCCCACTGGCACCCAAACCCAGCTCTCTTCCTCATGGGTGGAGCTGCCCCGGGGGCTGAGGAAGGATGACACGGTGCTGAACAGGGTTCAGCTGCACTGTTCCCATGGGGAGGACCTCTTCAGCAGCCACACAGCCGAGCCTCAGAGCACCTGATGGCTCCACCCATCCCCATGGCTGGACAACCATCTCCACAATGCCCCAGCACCATCGGGCTGTGTCCTTCTGCAGCTCTGGCCCATGCTGACAGCTCTCTGTTTCTTTCTAAGTAGTGCATCTGGACAGAGGTCCTCCGGTGTCCCCAACCAGAGGGCATCAGGAGGGCTCTGCACTGCAGGCCCGGGTGCTCCAGCATAGGCTGCTGCACGATGAAGTGGCTGCCACCAGCACATGCTTCTCCTGCTCCAGCAGGCAGGTGCTGGAGGAACTGTGCTCTGCCTGGGGCCAGTGGGGCAGCTGGAGCTCCTGGTGCCTTAGGGAACTGTGTGGCACCCAGAAACAGCAGGAGTCTGTGCGGTGCTGGAAAGGAATGACATGGCCCTGAGTGATCGGCGCTTCTGCTGCCAGTGAAACCCATGAACTGCATGCAGCTCCCTTTCTACCCCTGCCCAGACTTACTGATAAGCCCTAGTGTCTCCATGACACTCTCTGTCTCCCCTTGAAATGAGCTCTGGAGTAAAAAGACATACTCAGACTGCACGGGACTGCTTTGTCATTGGGAAGGGGCGCGTCATGGGAGCAGCAAGGTAGAAGAGTAGGAGGACACAGGCAGCAATGAGTGCCTCTGGTGAGGGCGAAGACCCCAGTCCACAAGCCCAAACTCAGGGGCCAGGAAGAAAAGCAGCCTTCAGGCCAGGCACCACTGGGAGTTGAACCCAGGATCTCCTGTTTACTAGACAGGCGCTTTAACCAGCTAAGCCATGGTGCCCACCTGCTCCTTTCCTAATGGGGTGCTCCCAAGGTTTCCATGACCCTGCCAAGCTCCTGTCTCCATCCTCCTGCTACTGGGGTCACCAGCAGGACCAGGAGCCAAAGTATGGGGTTGAGATCATTGGACCCATCCTGTGTGTCACTTCAAGCAGCAGTGGGGCCTCACTGGGGGATAACACCTGGAGCTGGGCCCACGAGGAGCTCTGTGCTGGCAGCCAGAGCAGGGCAGTGGTACCCAAAAGGAGGGGCCAACTCCAGGAGTTCAACCTGGGGCCTCTTGCACTCAAAAACAAGAAGAATGAAGGTCTCTCATGTAACCTGCTCCATTCCTTAGGGCAATCAGCATGGTCCTTCTGGAAACCAGCACTGAGAACAAAAGGTAGCGCTGCCCACAGCACTTTGATGGCCAACAGGAAGTAAGGTAAGGGGGCCCAGGCATCTGTATGCCCTGGCTTGTTGGTCTCAGGGTATGATTCTTGCTTCAGGTGTGAAATATCCCCCCACCATTTCCTTTTTGCAACCCTGATGACCTGATGATAGGGGGGGAGGTGAGTGTGAGCACTGGGGGTTGTGGCTCTGGGGCTGCTGCGAACATGGGTCTCTCCATGATGACTGTAGGGGCTTCCCTTTCTGCAGCTGGACCCCCAGAACAGGGAAGTTGTAGGTTGCAAAGCAAGATCACGTGGGGCTGTGATGGCCGAGGGGTGAAGGCGTTGGACTTGAAATCCAATAGGGTTTCCCTGCGCAGGTTCGAATCCTGCTCACAGCGATGGATTTTGGCTGATGCTGCTGGCTGGGGATCAGGGGCACGAGCTTTTCTTTTGGGCAACCACAAACTGGCGGGCACGGACAGGGATGGGATGGGACCCCACTGCCTGACACTAACGCTGCAGATGTCCGGTCTGCTGGAATGGCACTCAGAGCTGTTGGTAGCAATGTGTCACAGGGACAAAAGAGACAAAGCGCAGGCTCACAGCACGGCTCAGTGTGTGAGGGGCTTTAGAGGGCTGTGTGAATGGCACAACTGGGTGATGCCAGCACCAAACACGCCCCCGTTATACGGCTCCATATGGGGCCATGGTGCATAGCACAAAACTCCTTTGGCTGTGCCTCAGTGAGGGAAGTGTGATTCTAATACCACAGCCCCCATGAGGAGGTTTTCACAGGAGAGGCAAAAAACAGCTACAACAAGAAGAACTGGAGACACTGAGGCTTGAACCCAGGGTCTCTTTAATGCAAAGCCAGCACTCTACCACTGAACTGTAATCCTTTGTATGACTGAATTCCCATCCACAGCCTGATGGTCCCATTGCCCCTAAAACTTTGGAGATAGAGCTGCTACAGCTTGTGGCCATGTCCAGGTGCCCCCCCACAGCACAGGCTGCAGAACAAGAGGGATGTGCCTATTCCTGATGAGCAGAGCACTCAATGGAGCCTCTCCACTTCCTGTCGCCCATTACAGTCCCATAAATTGTACCTGGTCTAGTGCTGTGATTCTCACTTTTCAGTGAGGGTGCTGAGAGGTCCTGGGTTCAACTCCAGGACAAACCCTTCCATTTTAGGCACTCACACAACGCCCGGCTCATGGTGAGGAATGTGACAAGGAGGACACTGCCTGGTGCTGAGGGGAGAGGTGGCATTTTTGGGGTGGCACATCCATGGCGTCAGGGAACTATTGCTGCGGCAGGAACAGGGGTGGCAAAACAGGGTCTGAGAACGTCTGTCTGGGGAGAACATTCGGGCAGAGAAGAGGGAGCAGTGGGCAAGGTGGGTAAAACTGCGGGGGGGGGGTGAGGAGAGCTTCCCAAAGACCCCTTCTACGCCCATCAGCAGGGTATGCAGCTCAGTGAGGAAGCCCTGGAGGTTCTGGGCAGACAGGATGAGACGAGCATCTCAAGTCCTGCCTGGATACGCGGAGAGCTGCGCAGGGGATGCCGCAGCCATTACCTGTGCAGAGTCGTGATCCCAGCACTGCAACTGCCTTGGCTTTTCAGCAGTGCGCGGTCCGGTGAAGGAGGAGCACGGTCGGTGTCGTCAAAAAAAAAAAAAAAAAGAGGGCTCGTCCGGGATTTGAACCCGGGACCTCTCGCACCCTAAGCGAGAATCATACCCCTAGACCAACGAGCCGCGGCGTCCGCAGGGCGGCGCTGGTCAGTGGGCCGGGCTGCGCAGGGAGCGGCACTGCTGCTGTGCGGACGGGAGGGGGGGGGAAAAGCGTCTCACGGTGCGTGTGACCGAGCGCTGCCAGCCGTCAGCCAGCGCGGCTGTGCCGTCTCTGCCCTTGGAGACCTTCAGAAGCGTCTGGATGCAGTCCTGGACCAGCTACTGTGGGCGCCTGTGCTTGAGTGCTGATACCTGTCAAGAAATTCCAGGCTTTCAGCAACTGGTTGGAACACCTCCGCATAACTGTTCTCTTGGGAAGGTTTTTGCTTCTAGATAAGGACAACCTAAAAAGCACGGACTCAGCATTCCACCAGCTTTGAGGAGAAGGTAAACTGTGCCCCACTAGGGTTGATCATAGGTGCTCCAGCAAGGTTAAAAACTTAGTCAACAGCCATTTTTTTTGTATAAAGCTTTCTGACCACATATGGGACCTGGCTTTTGTAACAAGCATTCTTTTGCCTGGAGACAACCAACAAACTCCTTTCCGGAAGCCCCCAGAACACGAGTAGTGCCAGATTTTAATACGTATAGTGCTTCTAGGCGGGCACTTTGTAGAAATGACGTGAATATTCACATGTTAAAATGCATAACATCAGTGTGCTTTTCAGGTAGTGGGTGTGCATGCTGGGAGGAATGATCCCCCGTGCAGCCAGTGCTGCAATAAAGCAATGCCAGCTTTCTAACCTGCCATTCAGTTAGGTGAGTTTTATTCCTGGATTTCATAGAATCATAGAATGAACTGGGTTGAGAAGGGCCACAACCATCATCTAATTTCAACCCCTCTGCTACGTGCAGAGTCTGAGTGGCACTGGAACCAGATGGCCTCCAGAGGTCCCTCCACTATCAACAGTTTGGTGACTCTGTGCCTGGCAGTGCGGAGAAACCCAGGTGAGTAAAAGAACTTGGCTTTGAGGGATGTCCCTAGGTGGAAGAAGAGGGGAAGGCCCATGGGGCAGAATGGAAGATGTGTGGGCAGGGGGTCAACAACAGGTGGCAACGTATTCCCCCCAGCCATAGACCAGGGGTATTATCCATCGTTGTGAGCTGAATTCAACCCTGTGCAGGAAAACCCTACCTCATGCTGTGTCCAGCGCCCATCGTCCACAGCAGCCCCAGCTGACACCACTTTAGGGGGAACTCTTTGCTCACACATCTGGCATATCCGTCTTTGTGGGTATTTCCAGGCAGCCCCAGCTGCCCCATGGTCCCCATTCTGGCAGGGAATGTCTGGTGTAACCCCACACAGCCCTACGCCCTACATCCTGTCTGCACTTGCCACTGGCTGCAAGGCGTGAGCCCAGCAGTGCCAGTGGAAGTGCTGCCCAAGGACATGAACAAATGTCACAGGGTTGTAGGAGCCAGGCAACTGCACACTGCGACTCTTTGGTCTGGGGACGTGGTTCTCACTTAGGGTAAAAGAGGTCCTGGGTTCATCTCCCACACCCTATATTTAAATGCCACCATCGTGCTCTCTCCAAGTGAACAAAACCAGCCAAAGTCATTTTTGGCAGCAGTGAAAATAGGCCACGTCCACGATCATGTGGACAGCCAGGAGGCTGAGTAGCAAGCTTACATGCCTGGACTTCGGGAGAGCAGACATCTAGCTCATCAGATCTGCTTCTTAGAGTCTGCTGAGATAAAGCACTCTGGGGAAGAGAAACCCATGAAATCTGATAAATATTCAAGATATTCTATGATTCTTAGATTTTAGTGAAGGGTTTGATACTGTTTCTCACAGTACTCATGTGGAGACACAGGCAAATCATGTCTTGGACGTGTGTACAGGCGCACTGAGGGAGGAACTGGCTGGATGGCTGTGATCAAAGAACCACAGTGAATGGAGTTGAACCCAGCTGACAGCTCGTCACCTGGGACGTTTCCCAGAGCTCAGTACTGGGGCCAGTTTTGTTTAATATTTTCACCAGTGATTTGGATGATGGGATCAAGTGCAGCCTCAGTAAGTTTACAGGTGATACCAAGAGAGATGATCCATGTGAGAGCATCCACGTGGATGCACAGGAGAGGGTAGGGTTAAACACTCACAGGCAGGAGACCCTCCTGCTGAGTTATTAGGTTCAGAGACAACTCCCTGAACCACAGAAGTAGGAAGCCCAGCTGTACCTGGATCTGCTCCTCGCCCCACACTTGGTCAGTCATGTATGTTTTAGGGATCATTACTTCCCAATCAACCTAAGACACAATCTTAGCAAAGCCAACAAGGCTTAAAACAAACTACTGGCCACCTGGTGAGGATCAGTATTGGTAGGGCATCTTGGCATTGCAGTGCAAGGGATTGGATCTCTGCATGGGACAAACCTCAAGAGACATCCTTACTTGAGGGCAGTGCTGCCATGCAACTTGCTGCCCTGATGGAGAGCACCAGGGCCTGATGGGACAAGGGTGAATGGTTTTAATCTGAGACAGGGGAGGTTTAGGTTGGATATGAGGAGGAAGTTTTTCAGCCAGAGGGTGGTGAGGCACTGAACAGGTTGCCCAAGGAGGCTGTGGATGCCCCATCCCTGCAGGCATTCAAGGCCAGGCTGGATGTGGCTCTGGGCAGCCTGGTCTGCTGGTTGGTGACCTGCACACAGCAGGGGGTTGGAACTGAATGAGCACCCTCTGCTCCTTTGCAACCCAGGCCATTCTATGGGCTGCTCACTCTTTATGGGTGTAGGATCGATTGACAGTGATACTTTTGAGGTGCCTGCTCGATTGGCCTTCAGCTGTTGAACCAGGTGTCTGCTATCCGTTTCATCAGGTCCCCAGAGTGAGGCAGATTATTGCTCGTTAATCTGTTTTATCAAAAGTACTCTTGCTCATTGCCTTCCCGTGTACAAGGCCTTATTTACAAGGCCGCTGTGGAGTAGGAAGCAGGAGGAGTGAGGAGGAGGAGGAAAGGAGAGCACACTTTCACACTTGCATCAGAAGTAGAGCAACCAAGAGCATTAGGGAAGGGATTGTTCCCTTGTACACATTACCAATGAGACCACACGTGGCATACTGTGCTCTGTTTTGGCTTCTTGGTACAAGGAGGATGCTGAGTAGTGGGAATGGATTTGGAAAAGAGCAACAAAACTGGTGAGGAGACAAGAAAACATGATATGAGGAGCAGCTGAGGAAAGTGAGGTTGTTTAAAGTGGAGAAAAGGAGGCTGAGGGGAGAACACGTCACTGTCTACAGCTTCCTGAAGGGCGGTTGCAATGAGGAGGGTGTCAGGCTCTTTCCTCTTATGCCAAGCGATAGATGGCAAGGAAGCAGACTCACGTTGTTGCAGGGGAGGTTCGGATTGGACATCAGGAAGGATTTTTTATAGTTCTGGTGGACAGAACATGGAATAGACTGCACAAGGAAGAGCTGACATCCCCATCCTTGGATGTATCCTGAAGGCGTGGGACAGTGGAGAGACTATCCAGGAGAGTGCAGCTTAGTGGGAGTGATTGCAGTGCAGGTATAGAAAGGAAAAGGAATTGATCCCTAAGAGCTCCCTGTGGCAAATGGCCATGAAGGAAAGCCTGCGTGCATGGGTCTCAACAGGGGGGGCTGCTGGCAGGAAAGCATCAACTGAGAAAGAGGGCTGAAGAAAATTTGCCTAAAACCAGAACTCCATTAGCAGCAGCAGCAGCAGCATTGTCATCAGCATTATTGTCCTCGTTGTCGTCGTCATCATCATCATCATCATCATCGTCATCATCATCATCATCATCGTCGTCGTCATCATCATCATCATCATCGTCATCATCATCATCATCATCATCGTCGTCATCACCACCACCACCACCCAGGGGATGTAGCTCAGCGGTAGAGCGCCTGCTTTGCATGCAGGAGGCCCTGGGTTCAACCCCCAGCATCTCCACACTTTTGCTGCCTCTGAGCAAAACCCCTCCCTCACCTTTCCTCACTCACCTCCACAGACCCTCTCCCCTTGCAGCTCTCTTGCTCCCTGTCATCCCAGCAGATCACCTGCTGCTTTCCTGCACTGTCGTCTCTGTTTTTATGAAGCACAGAATGGACAACACAGGGAGCTGCTGGCCTGCCAGCTTCACCATTGTGATGCAGAAGATCATGGAACCTCCAAGCGCCAAGGAACAGGTAAGGAAGAGAAGTTTCTGAGAGAAGTGTTGGGCTGTCCTAACCAGCATGACTTCACCAACCAAGGGCTTGTCTGCCTTCTGTGTTACTGTGTTTCTGTGTCAGCGGACATCTAAGAATCACTGATGTAATTTATCTGGATCATGTTAAGGCTTTGGACTTTCTTCTCTTCAAACTGGAAAAATATGGATTTGACAGGTAGAGTATTTGGTGGATGAGGAACTGACTTCAAGTTCACACCCAGATTCTGTTGGCCAATGGCTCAAAATCCAGGAGATCAGTGACAAGCAGTGTCCCTCTGGAGTCACTACTGCTAATATTTTAATATTTTCATCAGTTGGATTGAGTACATCCTCAGCAAGTTTGTGGATGACACCAGGCTGTGTGGTACGTTTGACAGGATGCCATCCTGAGGGACCTAGAGGGGCTCAAGCAGTGAGCCCAGGAGAACCTCATGAGGTTCAGCAAAGCCAAACAGGGGTCTTGGGGTGACCTGAGAGTGGTCTATCAGTAACTCAGGGGGTCTGTGAGATAGAAGGAGACAGACTCTTTAGTACAGACTGCTGCAATAGGACAAGAGGAGACGTTTTAAACTGAAAAGGGATGTTTAGATTGGATATAAGGGAAAAAAAAGATGATGAGGGTTGTAATGAGGGTAGCACAGGAATAGGTTGCTCGGGGAGGTGGTGGATGCCCCTTCCTTGGAGACATTGAAGGTCAGGCTGGACCGGGCTGTGAGAAACCTGACTGAGATGAAAATGTCTCTCTTCATTGAAGGGGAATGGGACTGGATGGTATTTAAAGGTCTTCTCCAAATCAGTAGATTCTGTGATTCTAAGATCAGATCTTCCTACACAAGCAGTGGATGTATGGAAAAGAAATATGTCTTTACTGTGCACTGCAGCTTGTTGCCCAGAGTGGCTGTGCCATCTCCTTCCTTGGAGACCTTCAAAAGGTGTCTGGATACAATCCTGGGCCAACTGCTGCGGGTGTCTGTGCTTGTGCAGGGCAGGGGCCAGATGGCCTCCAATGACAACGATTTGGTGGGGGTGCAGAGGAACTCTGTGAAATCCAGGTGAGAGGGGAAAATGGGTGCCCTGGGGGCATCCCATGGAGGAAAAAGGGTCCTCTGGTGAGCCAGTAGCAGTGGTGAGCACAATGATGGGCGGAGAGATGCTCACGAGGAGGAAATCCCAGAGCGTAGTGTGGGCTGTGTAGGGTATTGTGCCTGAAAAGCTGCGGGGCAGGGGATGGAGGAGGCAAGGGCTCAGCACCCTGGATCATTGGTCCAGCAGAATGACTCCTGCTTTGGTGTCAAAAGGCCCCTCTGACCTAAACCCTCCCTCCACAATTCCCACCTCCAGGCAGGGGGTAAAATCCATCGCTGTGAGCAGGATTCGAACCTGCGCAGGGAAACCCTATTGGATTTCGAGTCCAACGCCTTCACCTCTCGGCCATCACAGCATCCCTGCCCTATGCTGAGGGCACAGCCATCCCTGTGGGGCAGCCCCAGCACCCCACAGCCCATTCCGTGGGGGTTGTGCTTAGCAGAGTGCCTGCTTTGCATGCAGTTTCACCTCCAGTATCTCCACCCTTTTCCTCCCCAAGACACTCCAGTCTCTCAGCTGCCCACAACAGTGTGGGGCTGCTTGAGAACATGGCTTGCCTCGGGCTGCTCCTGGCTCCTCTGCTGCGGTGAAGGAGCCAGAAGACATCCCCGTCTGCACTAGTGAAGACAAACACCTGTGAAGCACAAGAAATGAGGCTCCAGGAGCACTTTGCAGTGGGGCTCGTTGGTC